TGCACAGCACGCCCTAATTGTTAACGCGATTCAACACACACGTTGGGCAATGTGTGCGGCGTTTGTGGTAACGACTGTGCACTAATGAGCTCACGATTGGGCTGCATTTGTCAGGAAGTTGTTCGCACGTGTTTGCTCGAGTTTCCTTGGGCCTGCAACTCCGCAGTCCAAACATGCCACCACTTCTGCAGAACGCTAACGAGCTTTGAAACCGAACACAGCGGTAGGCTGCCTGTCCCAGCAGATGATGTGACGGCCCGGCTAAATACCGGCTTGTTGAAAGCATAAAAAAACATTTGTTATTAGCACGCTGGCAGATCTTAGAACCCTGGGATCGTGTTTTGGCACATTTTCCAGCAATATAAACATAGGCAAGCCTGTTAAGTTTGAGACTTATCCATAACTCGGACCTCTTATAGCTCGGAGGAGACTTGCATCGGGCTGCTATTCGTGACAGAGTACAATGTTTGGCTTCATCGTTTATTTTTAGTGGTGGAACGCCGTTTTTAAATACGCCAGAAATTCCACTTGCCTCGTGCTTTTTTAACGTTTTGCTTAGAATCATCGCATTCCATTCCAAACGAAACAAAGCTTGAATGCATATCTACGCATGCTCGTTAATCATTACTTCATAACCGGCTTGGAACTAAATAAGCTACGTTATTTTTGTTAAGCTTGGCGTATACGTGTAATCACACGATGTATACATACCGTGCAATATTCGGGTGCAACTCAATACCCACGTGCAAAAGTTAAGTTTCAGTTTGCTTGGATGACACACTCCTCTCTCTCTCTCTCAATCTATGACTCGTGGTGTGCAAGTCAACAGCTGATCATCTCATTCCAATCCGTTCACATTGACGGGTAGCTCACGGTCCACTCCTCCTCTTCGTCTCCTCGTCTCTGCCTCTGTTCTTTTCCTGCGTATCGTGGCAATTTGTTCGGGAGCTAAATGCCAATGTTGAGGTCCGCTGCGAGCCACGAGAGGGCTTCAGGAGGGAGTTCGCGTGGCTGTGCTGCGTGTGTTGACTCTAATGCGTCGTTCAATGGCCCTTCTTCATAGCAGAGAGACACCACTGGCCAAACCATCATCGATTATAGACAGCTAATAATAATTATACTTATGTACTATCGCTCTTTCGTCGGTCCACTGCAGGATGAGGGCCTTACATGCCATGGTGCGTTGTGGCGGTTCTTTGATCTTCCGTGATAGAGGTTTTTTTGGGGTTACATCGCGTAAATATGAATGTGTCGTTAGACCTGCCACCACCCAACACAGACATTTAGTAAGATGTGTCACGTAAAAAAAACATGCCAATTGGTTACTAGTACAGCACACTGGTGCGTTGTCGAGCAAACCCATACCACTTACAATTTGAGTACGACGTTTCGCCAGTAATTACAACCAGCATCACCAGGCGACAGCCAGCGTTCTTTGGTCTTCCTCTATCACGAGGCTTCCAAGAGTCCTCAGTGTGACGCCTGCAAGAGTTGGTTAAGTGTCGCGCAATCATCACCCTCCCCACACCGCCCCAGCGCCGTGACGGGGTTTGTCACGAATCTGCGTCGATGATTAATTCGAGACTCCGTTTACATTTTTTTCGTCCCATTATTAAAATCTATTTCCACCGCATTTTTATTGCTCGGCTGTCTGTCTCGTCTTGTACAGTTTTCTGTTTTGCCCCAGTAGCCTGAAGTCTAACTATTACCGTATGATAAATCATTGTAAATAATTTATTCTCACGTGTGCTGTTACGCTACATGTATCGTATTAAAAGTAATTTGACCGAGCCAAATTATCTTCTCGGAAATTGTGTTTTATTTAACATTGACATATATTCGTGGAATATTTTATATTTCTTTGGTAACACAATTGATTTAATGAGATTCATTGTTTTAACTTTCCTTTGCTATACTTGTTATTAAATTCAATTTTTGCCATTCCGGTAGCAAATGAGACTGTCGTGGTCTCTTTAGTTCTCACTTTGGCAAACACACATGTAACCTAAAGCAATCCTAGTTGGGAGCGTACAATAACACACGAAGAGCCATACAGATGGGTTAAAGATCCCCCCGCTTGCTATGCTGCCTTTTCCCATCCACTGTGCATCCGAGCGGGCTTTGGGAGTTAAACAAATCTGCACGATCCACCCCTAGACCCTGCCACAAACTCAAACCATGGCTAGGCCCATACGCAATACCAACAAAACCACAATTCGCCACTAAGTGACGGTGACGTCACCACGGCGCCAGTGCCAGGCTAGGTGCACTTTGAGGCCGCGTGAAGTGTCGAGGGCTCGCTGGCAAGGAGGTGACGGGACAGACCCAGAAGGTGCCATGATGGGTTGACCGAATGAGATGACTGGCAAAAATGCAACCAGCTGTGTCCCCTACTGTGCCAACGTGCTGCGTTTTAGGCCCCCTGCGCTCCGCTCGTTGTTGTGGGCGTCGCTCTTCAACGCTCTGGCTAGGCAGGTCCTGAAGGTCAGACGTCGCGTGGATGCGGCACGGCTGATGGAGAATGCCTCTGCCAGCGAACACGATCGCATAAACAACTCGGGTGGGGTTTGTTTTTTTTCGAAGACACAAATGAGGACGTGCAATAATCTGTCACGTCCAATAATACGTGCTAATTGATTAAGTTAATTCCAACGCCCTTTTGCCCGATTCAATTGAGATTAATTATCCACAATATTTGTGCGCACGATGCATTGTTCAACCACAGGGTTGTGGGCACACTCGTCCCTGCGTATCCTGATATATTTAAATATAATTTACATATTAAAATAAAATTGTGATTAAATGTATCTAACCATGAAAGCTTCACACCGAGTGTGAGTCGTCTCGTCGACGTGGTTCAGAATTTGCACGTTTTGGCCAATTCGGTGTACAAGCGCGGAGCGAGCGGCAGTGAAACTGGATAATGCCTGAGACAAGATACCCCGTATCGCCTTAACAGACTGTTGGGGCAAGTGCTGTTAGCGAGCACCTATGAAGGCCAGCACGGTACACGAGGGGTTGGGTGGCCAGCATCACGCCCGGCCGCCTTTGATTCCCTAGTGGCGATGTTTACACACCGCAGCAGGTACTCAATTTGAGGCTGAATCTACCTAGGGGAGGCCCGGGACCGGTTTAGATGATCATCGTCACCGGTGTTGGCCATAAGCGGGAATCGCATCCGAGTCGTCAGGTTCGTGGCGCAGCGTAGCGCTAACCGCTACACCACCGCTCCCCCACATACCTACACACACACACCTACACACACCTACAAACACACCTACACACAACAACAACCACCATTCGCCACTAAGTGGCGGTGACGTCACCACGACGCTTGTGCCAGGCCATGTGCACATTGAGGCCACGTGGAGTGTCGAACGCCCGCTGGCAGGAGGTCACGGGGCAGACCCAGGTGCCACGGGTCGACTGACTGAGATGACTGGCTGATGCACCACTTGTGCCCCCTACTGTGCTAACCTGCTGTGCTTTAGCCACCCGGCGCTCCGCTCGTTGTTGTGAGCGTCGCTCCTCCACCCTCCGTTGTTGTTGGAGGGCGACTGCCTCCATCTGCCCAGTTGCATCCTTCACGAGCCTCCTCCACAGAGGCCGATCTTGACACCGCTGGTACCAGTCATCGGCAAGTCTACTCAGCTCCACGTCCTCCTGTACCACATCACTCCATCTCTTCTCTAGCCCGTGCCGCGCCCGTCTAGCCCCCTCGATCCGGCCGAACAAAAGCTGTTTTGGCATGCGGTGGCTGGGCATGCAGGCTACATGACCCAGCCAACGCAGCCTTGCCTGCCGGAGGAGCTCACCGATGGGACCGTGCCCAGATCTTTCAAGAATTTGTGAGCTCCTCACACAATCCAGCCTGGTTAAACCCAGGATGGATCGTAGGCAGGCCAGCCTAAATGTTTCTAACCGGCGGAGATGTTCCATTAGGGGGGTCCACGTTTCGCAAGCGTAGAGAAGGGAGGGAATGACCGTGGCCGAGAAGACCTGAAGCTTAGTGCGGAGCGACAGACCAGGTAGCTTCCACACAACATTACGCAACCGATGAAAAGATATAGCCGCTCGACTGATTCGGAGTGAAACCTCTGCTGTTAAACTAGAGCCAGTCATAAGCACACTGCCCAGGTATGGGAAACTCTACACTCTCTCCACAACTGCCCCATCACCGATTGGGAGTTGTGGGGGTGGAGTGTCCGATGGTACAACATACCCAGGCAGGTGCTTAGTTTTGGAGGGGCTGATGGTAAGGCCCCATCTCTTAGTAGCACGCTCCAGTCTCAACAGCAGCGTCTCCAACTCCTCCTCTGAATGAGCAGCTATTACCAAATCATTGGCATACATAACGTGGTTGAGCAATAGGGAGCCATCCCTTGACCGCATCCGGGCATCGATCAGCCTCCCATTATATCTGTACCATATGGAGATTCCCCCGGTAGAGCTATTGAAGGCTTCACGAACTACGTGGTCAAAATAGATGTTAAATAATGTGGGAGCCAGAGGACATCCCTGTCGCACCCCAAGGTGTACAGGGAATGGCTCTGACTCCCGGCCACGTAGTTTTACCCGGGCCCGCTCACCATCATGAAGGTCCTTTATGATCGTGAGCAGAGGGTCAGGGACTCCAAAAGCACAAAGAACAACCCAGAGCCCAGGCCTACTAATGGTATCATAGGCCTTGACCAGGTCAATAAAGCAGAGATGTAGGTCTTGCTGGAATTCCCTACACCTCTGCTGTAGCAGACGGACAGAAAATATGGCATCCGTGCAGGACCGCCCTTTCCTGAAACCGCATTGGGGCTCCGCAAGCCTCTCCTCAGCGTGCCTGGCAAGGCGATGTTGAATAATCCTTGCCAGGACCTTTCCCGGCACGCTGAGGAGTGAGATGCCCCTGTAGTTGTTACAGTCTGTGCGGTCCCCCTTCTTAAAGAGGGGGACCACCAGGACACACACACACACTTACACACACACATACCTACACACACTCACCTTCACACACACATACCTACACACACACACACATACCTACACACACACCTACACACACCTACACACACACACACGTGCCGCACACAGACGCGGCGCGCCAGCCACCAACTCGGCTTTGTGCCCGTGTCGACTGACGCTTTGTGTCACTTGCAGCTGAGACCGCGGGATGGAGAGGGGGGTAGCGGAGCATGGGGGATTGTTTCTCATTTCATTAGAACAGGAGCTAACCCCACTGAACTCGCCCCACTCTAAGATGCAAACATATGTTCCCTTATTGAATGTCATGTGCATATGTGTGTAGGTGTGCGCGCACATACGCACGTGGAGCGGTAGCGTCGCGGTTAGCACACTGGGCTACAGACCCAGCAACCTGAGTTCGATTCCCGTTCACAGTCAACATCGGTGACGAATATCTGAACCCATCCTGAGCCTCCCTTAGGTTGACTCAGCCTTAAAATGAGCATCTAGTGTCGTGTGTAAGAGAGATAAAGGCGGTCCAGGTGTGGTCCTGACAACACCATCCCCTGCATGGGTTGTGCCAGCCATCATTGGTGCCCACTAGCAGCACTTGCAATACCAGCAGCCTGTGTGGCTATAGGAGTGAGATGTTTATCGTCGTGTGCACGTGCGTGTCTGTGTGTGTTCCCCTTTACAAGGGACAAAGGGGGCGGTTGCTCTGTTGTACAAAAAAAAGGTTACTTTGCTTTGAGAAAATGGCCAGATGGGGGCAGAGAGGATTGTGGAAAGGTCACGGAGGTCAACAGTGCTTATGAATGGTCGAGAGGAGCCCCTGGGATGCCCGGCGGTGATTTCCTTCATGAAGTGGGCTTGGTAAAGTAGCTTTCTTGCACCTCCAGCGATGTGAGCTGTAATTCTGATGATGGATATGGTACTCTCGGGATGATCTACAGGTGCTGCGCTTTCATCGGTTAAATTCATAGCGGTGCAGCTTACCATAAGGAGTTGTTGAGTCGTTATCGTAAATCATTATTTCTAGTTCAGAGGAGAACCGGGTGGGTCAGAGGTCAGAGCACTGAGCTGGAACCACTGAGGTCCTGGGTTTCAAATCCAGGGCAGCTGCCCATTATTTAAAAACAGGATTTTCAGTGGAGTGAGTTGGTAACCTCAGCCTGGTCATCAATGACATGGCATTCAGGTTAGTTCTGCATTTAATTTAGGAATCTTACGTATTGGCTTGACTGTCACCCTCCCGTGCAGAGTGGGTGGAAAAGTGCTGCCCTCTCCCGTGTGGAAAAGAGACATCACTCGAAGGAATCTATGGCAGCTCTGTGATATCCGCTTCTTCGGGCCATTCTATAGCACAAACGTGTTGCACTGCTCTGTAGGAAATCTCCATGGGTACTTTTGCCTCATGGCATGACGGAAACAGTCAAACGATTCGAAACAAGAACATATACGAAGTATATGTTTATGTATTATATATTTAATACACATTAAATCATAAATCACAACACACCTCTCAATGTGCAGGCATGTGGAAAGAGAGAGCGGTGTTTTTAAACCGTTAGGCCACGTGTTGTGATGGCTCTCTTTGTAACACCAATTAACAAATAACGGCGAATGCTATTCAGCGAGGGAGCCCTCCTGTGTAATGCTCGTAATTGGTGTTAGAGGCACCAACGATGCAATCTTGGCATCTTGTCTAAATCATTATTTACATGAACACAAACATTATGCGCCGTACTAACGACAATTTGACTCACTTGATGCACAATCGTTGCCTAAAAAATCCGCGGCTGCAATATTGGGACGCGGTCCCGCGGGTTAGCAGGTGACAGGTGTTGAACGATACGATTAAAGGAGAGTGTCTGAGGCTATAGATCTCGATGTGGATCAGACTCCAGGTCACCCTGAAATCCCTTCTGAAATCACTCTTCCCACTGTCTATAACCCAAAATTTACTTTGATATGGCACGTGAAGATTTGTCGGACAGAATGTTTAGGTGACCGGTTTCCGCCACCTCAATTTGTCACAGTGCTACGACACGCGAAGCAATGTCGTACTGCTACTATACCCCCAGCCTCCTCCTCATAGGTTAAGCTTGGCCAGAATGTGGCTATTTGCACTGCATGACTCAGGTGAGGTGAAGGTAAAGGCGAAGCCCTGCGATCTCTCACTCACGCTGCCGCTGGCAGCAGAAGGCCCTCCGTTACATGGAGCTCCGGAGGGCCCCACAAGACGGGATTTTTGTTTTTATAATCTTCCACGGTGGCCAGACGTCATGGAAAAGTTGCATTACCCACACTTTTCCCCACCACAAATGGACTGCCGATCAATTAACTTTGGTGTTATCACAATTATACTACTGGGTGGACATAGACGAGGTGAGGGGGGTATTTAAGACGTGCCGAAATGTTTCAAAAGCCACGCTGGGGGATTGATTGAACCACCAGCTTCTGGCTTGGGAGTCGAGTATGCTCACCATTACACCACGGTAGCATCCACTTAACATTGTTATGGATAATAAAATAAATAACAAAATTCATCGGGAGCTTGGTCTCACGCCTAATCAATTTGGATCTCAAGTCGAAATGAATCTAATCTACCGAGCTACGGCACAGAGACGAGTACCCACCGCTTCGCTGCAGCGATAAGGATCCCTCTAATTGGCTAGCTGAGCGAGCAAGATCAAGGGGTCATCACGACCAATTAGCAAGAGATATCGCCACACCGTGTGCCATTGCTTCCTCCCGCTTGGCAGATCCCACAGCAGCGGCTGCACAGCCGACACGCCCAGCCTCCGCCGTGTTGTACCCCCCCCCCCACCTCCGATTAGCACGGTTGGCCACGTACGGTGCGATAGAAGTTCAACGTACATGCGGACATACATCACACCGACACAGGCTCTCTTCACGGTATCCCTCACCATCTGGCTTTAAAATTAAATTAAATATTTGGTGATGCTGCTGCTGCGTTCGCAGTGATACGCAAGCAAAAATAACGGATACGTTCATCAGTAACACTGTGGCCTTAAACATCCTAAATATATAATAGACGACGTTTCGGGCAATGGTCCTTCTTCATAGCACATCTGGCTTGAGGTCTTCACCTTGGTCACACACCTCCTGGGTGCTACTCCAATACCTTTCTTGATCACCTGCCCTCCTCCACATTCCAAGGGCAAGGCTGCAAAACTTTACCAACTGGAGTGGCAAAAATGTAAAGGTACCAATTTCTTTACAATGCCAATAAAAGCGAATTGTGCCATTGTGACCTGGCATGTTTAAACGTCGTGACTTAATGCACTTTTATCAACAATGTAAGGAAATTATTATAACTAAAGGTGTGCCACATTAGGTCGATGTTGTGCCCACAGGCTAGCATTGATGCGGTGGCGAGATGTTAACCTCTTCGCCATATATATAGGAGGTCGTAGGTTCGATCCCAACCCTGACGGATGTATTGTTGAAGTTTGCATGTTCTCCCGGTGGTCTTGTAGATTTTTCTCCGGATTGTACTGGTCTTCCGGCGTGGAAGAGCAGGCCAAAATTCCCTCTAAGAGGGTCACTCTAGAGTTCCCCATTGAGGAGGCCCTTTTTCCAGCAGTGGCATGAGCAGGGAATTACAGGGCTGCACCTCGAAATGTGTATTTCCATCTGTAAGTGCATTCATCTTCTCATTTTGTATGAATGATGTAGATACAGAGCAACCACTAGAATTTCACATTCAGGTGGTCAGGCCAGATAACCGCGTGAGGAGCAGCAGAGTGTATCGCGTCGTTATACGTTATGCGGTCTGTTCTGGATGACCACAGTCGCACACTACTACTGGAGAGTGTTTAACTTCCCAATTGTGCATCAGGTATTCGCATCTACTGCCACGATGTGCTGCTGTGGATGCAGTTTAGGGTGGACCGTGAGCCTCGTGGTAGATCAAACCCAGGGGGATCTTCCGCTAATGAGCTTAAAGGAAATGCGACCGCTAAAACTCCAAATGTGTTCGCCTGCCGATGCGATCCTCCGCTGCGCGGTTCCACCGCGAGGGAGGAGCGGTGATGACGGCACCCACCGTGGCGGTGCTGCCGCAGCGTACGACGCCTGCGGGAGTGACGCCGCCGCTAAAGGGGTCGGTGCAGAAGCGCTTGACCCGTAAATTTTTAATGTCTCGCTTCCCGTTAACGAAGCCTCAAAACTCACAACGGACATCGACAGCAACAACAAGCCAAGAGAGTTAATAGACCGCGTCTGGCAGTGGTACACAGGCGAGAGAAATATATTAATTATCCCACGTCCGTCGTGAACGCTGCCTTAGAACAGAAATATGCCGTCGGTCAGCTGTTCACTCGGTGAAACTCAAACACGTTCGTCAATAACGCTGTGGTCCTAAGTGGGAAAATAAATATTTTATAGGTGACGTTTCGGGCAATAGCCCTTCTGTAAAAATAGCTTTATAGCTCATCGGATTCATTCTGAATGGCCCATCTTCGCAGCGAGTGATTTTCTTATCCACTCTCTCCCTCTCTGTCTCTCTGGCCTCTCTATTTATACACGATGAAGAATTGCCATTGCCGGAAACGTCACCTATTGTTAACTTTATTCAACTTAAGGCCACACAGAGTGTTGATATTGAAGAATGTTGTCAGAGGTTTTTTTGTTATTTGTGTTTTGTGCGCCACTGTAGCACCGAATAATTTATTACATTCCACAGTTAATCGGTCTTAGCAGAGCAAAAGGCAGGACAGTGGCAGTGATTGCTCTTGTAATTGGAGGCCGCAATTTTCTCTTAGGGTGCTCTCAGAGAAAGGGGGGGGGGGGGCATTTAAAAAAAGTTGACAAATTAACTGTCACGTAAATATTTATTCCATTCGTAGACAACCATCGCAGAGACGACAAAAGTCAAACGCATGCACGTATGGCGATTCATATTTAAACGTTGAAATGATCAAATGTGGCTGTTTGACTGCATTCTGGCGAAGCTCACAACAACGCAGTGCCCACCGTCTGATTTCATCCGGAAGGTGATGGGGAAGGATCCTATTATCTGTGTTTATCGATGAAAGTCACACCATTTTGACGACAAATGAGATTGGTGCCTGAAAGATGTGGGGCACCACTTGAGGATATTGGCACTACGAGAGAGAGAGGGGAAAGTGGGAACAACAATTGACGAAATGTGCAGTGGACACCGATTACGAGCTCTCTGCCCACGGATCGAGATGGCGAGGGCACAGATGAACTCGGTGATAGGATTAACTTGTCATCACTTTTAGGTCACTGGTCTTATCGATGCAGATTCGATTAACATGTAAATGCTCCATAATACAGGGTTTTGTTGCGGTTAGATCGCGTAAATATAAATGTGTTGTTAAACCCGCCACCACCCAGCAAAGCCAATTAGTAAGGTTTGTCACGGAAACAAAACGTGCCAATTCGTTAATAGTACAGCACGCCGGTATGTTGAGAGACACCATTAACAATTCGAGTACGATGTATTAATGAGCATGTAATTGCTCACTTAATTGCCAATAACAGATTTATATATATATAGAGGACTGCAGGGCTTTGGGGGAACTCTATCGCCAGCTCACCCGCCTGTCTGTGGTTCCTCCTCGCGCTCCCGAGTGGCTCGCTGTCCGAGGGCGAGGGGTAACCGGCGGCGCCTTACAAGTCGAGGCTGTTCCAAGAGGTTCAATTTTACCGTCACTTCACGGCACCTCCTCTCGGTCGTGCGTAAGCGTTGATGATAATGCAACAAAAATATAACGTGGATAATCGTTTCTATGGATGGATTCGGATGCGTCGTATAACAGATATATGAATGAAAGAAGTTCAATTGTGACGACCTTGAGTAGCTAGTTAGGGTGCATTTTCAACCCGAGACACGTCATGCTTGTGTTTATTTTTTTCCAAAATAACAGCTGCTTGTTCTCTGGGCGATACGTTCAACGGATTTGGAAGCTAATCTGTCGATTCTGGCGATTCAGCGGCAGCCGTCCCCGCTCTTGCCGCGCAATGACCTCACCGCTCTCCAAAGGCTGCAGGCGGGATCATATTCTGCAAGGGAGTGGTAAAGAAGGTCAGCGCTCGACCTTTTGAACCCCCTGCCACCCTTAAGCCCCCCCCCCCGCCCCCTTCCCTTTGCCCCCGAGCCTCCGGGTAAAAAAAAAATCAACCCTGGAGTGGTGGCTCTCGGTCAGCTCGCTCGGAATAGAGCGCCTGGCACAGGCTATGGATGTGCCCAAGAGCAATGGGAATACAAAGCGGAGTCGGACGTGACCAGAATAGAGTTTCTCGCCAAATAGCCATGGCCTCCGCTACCCGGCAGTCTCAAAGGGCATCCGGAATCGGTGTCTGTGCTGCGGAGAGGGAGTGATTTTTTTTTTGTTAATGACGTTTGTCCCAGAGCTCAGCTCTATCTTGGGCTCCGTGAGATTCGAGAAGGAAGCTCGCAATTTGAAGAATGTGGTGCTCCGTGATGCGGTGACGTTCCTGAGAGGCCCATTTCTACATTACGGTCAGGGTTCTGTGCTGTCTGCTGCCACCTCGTGTGTGTGTGTGTGTGGGGAGCGGTAGTGTAGCGGTTAGCGCGCTGCGCTACGAACCCAGCAAACCGAGTTTGATTCTCGCTCACGGTCAACACCAGTTAAGATTATCTGAACCGGTCCTAGACCTCCCCTAGGTCGACTCAGCCTCAAATGAGTACCTAGGGAAATGTGTAAGCATCGTGGGTAAACGTCGCCACTAGGGAGATAAAGGCGACCGGGCGTGGTGCTGGCCACCCATCCCCTCGTGTGCCGTGCCGGCTTTCGTAGGTGCTCGTGAACATCACTTGCCCCAAAAGTATATTCATTCTATACGAGGACCTTTGTCTTTGTGCGTGTGTATTTGTGTTAGAGCGGAGCGGTGGCGCAGTGGTTAGCGCGCACTGTGCTACGAGCCATTCACCTGCGTTTGATTCCAGCTGATGGGTGCACAATCAGTTGGTGAATATCCGAACTGTTCCGGTACATCCTTCAGGTGGACTCTGCCTTAAATGAGCACGTGGCATAGCGGCCAAGAATGGTGCTGGCGACACCACCGCCTCGCGTGCCACAGTACCAGTGTCCGTAGGCTCTGCTCGCCAGCAGCTCTCGCCCCAACAGTCTGTGCAGGTCACACCGGGTTGGGGGGTGGGGGGGGAAAGAATACCACATGCGTTTGAAACGTCGAAATCTTTCGATTACACTTGAATCCCATCTTCGCGAGGGACGCGCGTCAAGTTGCGCGTGCCAGAAGCAGCCGCGTAGAGTTCATTCGAATTACCGATGCAAACGTCGCAATCGAATTCATGAATCTAACGAGGCAGAACAAACCGGACAGACGAGAGACGCGCGGTGACGTCCGCGCGTCACGATCGAGACTAAACGAGATAACTATTCTTGAACCGGATCGTCCGCCCCTGGACGGGTACTATTTCAAAGCGTCGCGCGAAGGGCAATGGTGCAATTGCGAGTCAAATTATCTTAAATAATCGGCAGCTCGGCACCAAACGTCGTGATGCAGAGACTGAGTGAGAAGGTGCCTAAGGGGTGTGCTGTAGAGGGAGGTGGAGCGCACCTCCCTCCAGGCACTATGTTGGCAGTACCCACACTTTACCCTACCACGCGAGAACTGCCGATCAACTCAGCGCGCCGCAGCCATTTATAGTGGCCCCGTGCCGCGTCTGTGTGAGAGAACTCTGACTGAGTTCGTGGCTCTGAGACCCAAATTTTAACCCGTGAATCTCCACTCTGTCGGCCGATTGCTCTGGCAACGGCTCGAGACCCCAAAGTGCCCGGGGCCACTTCCCCCGTTCGCCCACGACCCAGCTGGTTGGCACCACCTGGGGTGGAAAATGCTACAATTATGCAGCACCATGGGCAGCGCCCGCGGTGCAGTCTGTGTTATAAACACAGTTCCTATTTATTTGCTTGTTTCAGAGCATTTTTGTCCACACCCCCCCTCCCCCCGGCAGAATTATATTCTCCCTCTAGCATGCGACAATAACCCTTCTTTAACGACCGTTAGCCCATAAAATGCTACCACGGTGACCTTGCTATCGTCCACAGTTGTAATCCGGAGATAGCCTGCTTCAAGAAAAGTAATTGTTCGCAATTGCCACCCCTGCCCGGTACCGATAAGCCGTTTTGGCCCGATGGCTCAAGGGCTAGACGCCGTTGCTCGCCCCTTTTCAGCGAAAATAAAGCAGAATTCCCTTTTCGTTGGCGATTGTCCCCGCTCTCCAAGCACACCGGCAGCAAAGCGCCCTTCGGCGCGGCTGTTCCCGCTAGCAGGGCTCTTCCCCGGCAGCCACGGAGTGCGATTGCCACATTGTGATTGATCTGGAGGGCCTCGGAGAATTGACCTCAGCAACAGCAGCAGCACGGCCACACCGCTCACCCTGCAGGGAGCACTGATTACTCACCTGCTCTGGCAACGCAACATCAGCTGCTGCTGCTGCTGGCTGCTGCTGTTTGCTGCCGCTACTACGGTGGCAAAATGTTAACTACCTCGCCTGGTATACGGGAGGCCGTGAGTTCGATCCCGACCCTGACGCCTGCTGCTGTATATTTGGAGTTTGCGTGTCTCTCTCCGCGTGGTCGCGTGGATTTTTCTCCGGGTCATTTAGAATCAGCTTTCACGCGTTTAGAGTTTTCGGCTTCCGGAAATGCCCACGTGATAAGCCACTTCGTTGAGCTGCCATATGTGATAGCCAGGTCGCTTCTGACAAAGAGATGCGTAGCTCAGTGGGCTTTACCTGGTAAAAAAGAAATAGTTTACTCCTGCTTGCTGCTGCTTTAATTTTGACTAGAGACGGTGGCTGTGTCACTCAAAGGGATTAGGGTCTGGGATAAAATAGCTTAGATTCCTCAGTTTAACTCCAAGGGTTTTAGCTGAAATTAAAGAAGTGTCTCCAGCATAAATCAATAGGATTGTAGCGGCCCACTCACCGCTGTACATTGAAAGTGGGGCCACGTTCATTGAAAGTCTCCCAGAGGATCTGAAAATCAACACATGCTGCTCGTGCAGGAGAATATAATACTGCGAAGTGTTTGTGACGCAGCTGAGAGGGCCATGTTTTGTCGTGGGTATTGGCTAAATCGTCCCTTGTGCAGCTATAATAAAGTGTAAGGTCATCCATTTGTGAACGTGCTCTTGCCTACAACATCTTGTCATTGTATTGGCTACGACCATCTACGTGTTAAGTTAACAGGCCACTGAGATGACTCATCTCGCTTGCAAGGGAGAGGCCAACGGCCAGCTTCAGGGCTCAACATTCACGGTTCAAGATTCAGATTGATCGTTTCGTTTCACAGATTCTGGGTTCAAGGGTTCACATTCGACGGCACCAGGGTTCCATCTCAAGGTTCGGGTAGATTTCAGGGTTCAAATTATGGTTCAGGGTTTAGAGTCGCGTGTTTGAGTTCGTGACTTAATTAACTGCTTCTTACTGCAGTGGATCATCTTTATTGAAATTACACACGTGATGTGATGTTTTCACTAATTTAAGGATATTTTCTGAAATGTGAATTCTGGAGTATAATAATGTATAGCCCCTTGTCAATCTACTGCTGGATGAAGTCCTCCCCAAGCCGTGTTGGTCATGGGGGCTGTTTGACCATACTTCACCATGCTGGTAAGTGTGAATTAGAGAAAAGCGGCGCATAGCCACTTTAGATGTCAATCACAACTGATTTGTTAGCTCGCCAAGTTAACAACGCAGTGTGCTAATAAGCACTGCGCCACGTGTACTGTCATAGATTTATTCGTATAATTCTGTTAAAATCTGAGCAATCGTTATTGCTTGATGAAGTGATTAGAGCAATGGGCGAGTGTTCAATAACCGGGAATCAATGCCCCACGCCTCCTCCTCTAACTTTCCTTGGCACGACAACACACGCAGAGGTGTACGCACGCGCGGAGCAATTCTACCGGGGCGCAGCAATCTGCGAGCAAGCACACGCAACGAATACACGTGCATCAAGTTATACAATGCCCGAGAGCATTGCATTATAGATGACTCGTTTGTAAAACTGAATGTGTACGCGTTGTGCTGCGGTTACCGCGTTTGCCGGGGGTTGTACTCGGGGCTGCTTGGCTTGATGTCCATTTATTCCAGTTCTTGAAGAAGCCAAGCTTTTGGACGAGCTGCCGGAACAGCACGAGGCACGACTCGAAAACACAGCGGATAGTTGTAGCGCCACCGGGAACCCCTACGCAGAGGGATTCGAATTGAAAGTTCAATTGACGTGGCCCGTCGTCCCTATGGGATCCTCTTGATAAGCTGGCCTCCGTCATAGGAATGCGAAAATTCAGACATTGGCTCAGAGGCACCTATAGAGAGAGAAGAACACTTCACACTCATTTGATGATAATACTGCTTCGTCCCTTTGTCAATCCACAGCTGGATGAAAGCATTCCGTCACCAAATACCGTGGGTGCTGTTTCCCGGTACTTCGCAACGCTGGTTAGAGCAGGTTGGGGTGGAGTGGTGGCACAGTGGTTAACACTCTGCCTAAAGAATCCAGCGAGCTGAGTTTTATCAAGGGCCATGGCTAACATCAGTGGTGAGCGACATCTGAACCAGTCCTGCGCCCTCCACCGCCACAGATACTATTAATAACCCATATTATTATTATTTATCTTGGAAAGCCACACTGAAATCTTGAGACACTTTCGCAGGAGAGACCTGCATTTGGACGTTTGGCCAATACCTTTGAAGACACGAATGCCGGAGAACCCAGAGAAATCCCCACGCGTGTGAGGGGTGACACTCGGCACTGCCATCTTGTGGTTATACCTCGCTGCGCCACGTCTACAAAACCTGACAAGCCCCGGCGTTCTGTTCAACTGCCCAAAAAACGATCAGCCCTGCTTCTCTTCTGAGATCCGACATGGAGCGGGCGCGTTCGGGATGATCTGCTCATCGTAGGCTTTTGAGTATTGACATACTTGACTTTGGTAAACGAACAAGCAGAATTCGTATTGCACAAATTCCCACGTACAGATTATGAGAATGAAAATAGCGCTGTCTGCTAAAGTTGAGTCAGGGAGCTCAGGGGAGCTGGAAGCCGTTTTCAGCACCGCTGAGATTCTGGGTTCAAACCCCACGTGGCCGGATTCGGTAATTCACCATCCCCCTTGAAGCCAGCTCACACAAATAGACTCCGTCACCAATGGCTGCACAAAAAGAACCATCCCATAAATTGGGCTTGGCATTTAATTTAGTTTATTCCCACTATCAAAAAGTCCAAGTGGGTTTCCCACTCAATTGAGCATCCAGCAGCGCTCAACTCCTGTTTATAGCCCCGGGCAAGTGCTAAAAATTCCACATTCCTATGCCGGGGGTGATGCTTTCCACAGACTAATTGCTGACAACTGCCCCGCAAAAATCACTACTCGTTCCATCAATCCCAGAAGGTTGTAAGGCTGAGCTGACCTCTCACCAGGGATTTGAACTCACGACCTTGCGCTTGCGAGCCACGCGCTATCACCCTTTTGCCCGGGACTGGCTTCGTTCGTGCTGTGATGGCGATGCCCCTAGCTACAGCGGTGGAGCGGTTCGCGGAGTTGAACGGCTCCTATGAACAGCTGGTGATGGGCCATGAGACCCCCCCCCCCCCCATGTATCGAGTGGCTCTGTGTGGATGACTACTTCGCACTGCGCCCGAACGGAAAAATAACAAATGGGTTTCACAGTTATCCGTAGATACACAGAGAGAGAGAGCAGAATCGATAGTGGAATTTGTTTCGGTTTTTAATGCACGTTACGTGTTTCGTTGGATACATTTGTATGTGAAGTTCCATGTCATGGTTATTGTTAACGTGATCTTCGCACATGTTGAGAACTCGGTCTACCAGACTGACTCTTAAATCCATTAGCACTGTGTCCAATCACCATGCAACTCACCCACTCACTCACCCACCTATTCACCCACCCACTGACTCGCCCACCTATTCACCTACCCACTCACTCACCCACCCACATATTCACCCACCCACCTACTAACCCACTCACTCACCCACCCACCTATTCACCCACCCATTCACCCACTCACTCACCCACTCACCCACCCACCTATTCACCCACCCACCTACTAACCCACTCGCTCACCACACTGCAGGTCAAACTCTTTCTGCTTCGTCCCTCGCGCTACTTGAATGTAGAATTCCCTCCTCCCACCGTCTCTTTTTCCCAACCCCTTCAAATAACCTCAATTCAAGAAACATTCACTCTCATCTATTACACTTTCAATTGTGCTGCTTGTTGCTGGCCTCTTACCTGTACTCATCAACCATGGTGCAAACAAAACCTTTATTTTCTGACTGGTATAGAGGAGGTAGTAGGTTCGATCCTAGACCCTGACGATGCTTGTATATTTGGAGCTCGCGTCTTCTCTCCCTCCTCGCGGTGGCCGCTTGGAATTGTTCTCCGGGTTCCACCGGTCTTGCCCGACTCCACGTGTAATAAGAACGCGCACTGAGCTCATTTGGCTGCTACTCTAAATTCGCACGTTGTAATGATGATGATGTAAGCCACTTGGATGAGCCATCATCACGCGTTGCCACGTCGCCTCTGGACAATAACTGACGTTGTGCTTTACTTGGTAAATACATAAAATTAATAAACAAACCGAGCCCTTTTTTTACCAAAATCGCGTTTCGCTGCGTGCTCACAGCGCTCTGCGCTACGAACTCGGCGACCCGAATTCGATTCCCGCTCACGGGCAACACCAGTGACGTATATCTGAACTGGTCCTGGTCCTCCCCTAGATCGACTCAGCCTCAAATGAGCACCTGGTGCGGTTGTGTGAAACTTCGCCACAGGGTAGACAAAGGCGGTCGGGCGTGGTGCTGGCCACCCACGCCCTCGTGCGCCGTTCCGGTCTCTCATCGGTGCCACTGGCGAACAGCACTCGCACCCAACAGTCTGTTGACGTGGGGACCGTTGTCTTTGCTCGCTGTGACCCGCCCCAGGTTGCTACCGCTTGTGCCATGCCTTCCGCTCCTATGACATGGACGTGGAGCAGTGCCTGCTAGAGTCCCTGCCGCTGGGCCAGCGGCAGCGGCTGGTGCGGAGGGCTCGCTGCGCCCAGCTGCACGCCTACTACCAGCGCGAGCGCGAGCTGCGGCGGCACGGCGGCCGCGGTGGGGCCGGCGGTGGGGCCGGGGGTGGGGCCGGCGGTGGGGCCGGGGGTGGGGCCGACGGTGTGGCCGGGGCGCCCAGGACGGGGAGGAACGCCGGCGGGCGCCGGACCGGGGCGCGAGCGGCGTTCGGCCGCCTGGAGATGCTGCACGACGCCATCCTGCAGCACGACGATAAGGAGGGTACGTCACTCGCTCAGTCGGTCACTCGCTCGCTCGGTCGCTCACTCGCTCGGTCGCTCGGTCGCTCAGTCGCTCGCTCGGTCACTCGGTCGGTCGATCGCTCGGTCACCCGGTCGCTCGCTCGGTCATTCGCTCGGTTACTCGCTCGCTCACTCGGTCGCTCGCTCGGTCGCTCGCTCGGTCGGTCGGTCACTCGGTGGCTCGCTCGGTCACTCGGTCGGTCGCTCGGTCGGTCGGTCGGTCGGTCGGTCGGTCGGTCGGTCGCTCGATCGGTCACTCAGTCGCTCGCTCGGTCGCCCGGTCGCTCGGTCGGCAACCAACAGCGCTCCCTCGGGCGCACCGCCCCTCGTGACCGGATAACGAGGAGCTGTCTCAGCTGTCAGTGATCATTGGCGTCGTCGTGGAGGATATTAATAACTTCATGAACGTATATATATGAAAGTTTGTAAGTGTGGAAATAAATGTATAATTATATAAGGAATGTTTGTTTTCTGCGCGACGATTCTCGTGACTACGTTGAGTTATGTATTTGCGTGACATTTGCGTCGAACTAGGATCCCATAGCGGCAAGAGAGAGTTCTCGCCTTGAACGTCTGGCAGCTCGCGAGAATTGATTCAAGCGGGCCTCACTCTGCTGACGATCACTGAGCTTGGAAACCGGTCCAGCGGTTGCTTGTCCTGAGACAAAGATGCCGAACTGATGCGTTCACTGGGTCACCAATTATTACGGACCGACGGATCTGGGCCACGACGTTTAATCACGAAAAACTATTTTTAAAAAACCACATCGATAACGACTTTCTTCCAATACTATCGTTCAATTTCCAAGAGCAGTATTACACAGCGTAGCACTTTAATGCAGATTCGCACCCATGATTCATGAGGTCTTTAACTGATAATAACGAACGTGATCATAACAAACACCGCTTCCATTCATAATAACTGCGCCGCTGAAAATGGTATTTATTTTTCATAATCACCGTGCAATCGTGAATGCTGGAATTAATATCATCGCTAATTAATTACAAAAAAATAAGCGGGGCAAACGAGGCAAGCCCATCTCTCCCGTGGTAGCCAATGCGTTGCTCTAATAATAATAGTAGTAGTAGCAGTCGTAGTTCTTATTATTCAAGCCATGGAGGTGTTTCGGAATTGCCTTTTTTTCACCGTGAGAGCGCCGTGTGCATAATGAGCCGACGTACACTCGGACGATCATTCTGCTTAACTGCCTGTGTCCTGGCCTCCTCTGTGGCTCTAAGTGATTTACTGATTCCGCCATGTGGCCCCGGCGCTTAGCTACACCGGGTCTCAATTTCGCTACATCGCACGTAAACACACACGCACACGCACGCACACGCACGCACACACGCGCACACACGCACGCACGCACACACGCACACACACACGCACACACCCACAGAGGGCCGCCAAAGACCCGGGCCACATTAGCATTCACGCGCACGCCACACGCTGGGATAAAACGGGCATTCGTGCGTTGCAGGCTGAAATACAAATATCTATATTAGATTTGTATTTTTTGTTAATGTAACTTTATATTACGTTTATTTGGTTAACAACATTCCAACGCAGGTGTCAACGCAGCACATAGGGAGGTAGTGTAGCCGTCTGATCACAAGAAAATAGGAAATGTGTTCTTATTGCCCGGCGCGTTGCTCACGAAGATTGTGCTTTTTTAAATCGGGTTAGCAAACGATTTAGATTGCGGCCACGCTTTTAAAACTAGTTACATTTTTTTTTATTTTAACGGGGAAGGCCTACTGAGCTGTTTAGCTCTTTTTCATAAGCGGCCTTCGATTGCAAATGATAGCTCAGCGAAGTGGCTTATCACGTGGAAATGAATGGCAGCAGCCAAAGACCCTAAACGAGCGTTTAAATGTGGATGGGTAAACCCGGAGAAAAATCCACGCGACCACGGGGAGAGAGACACGCAAACTCCAAATGTACAGCAGCAGTCGTCAGGGTCGGGATCGAACCCACGACCTCCTGTACACCTGGCGAGGCAGTTAACATCTCACCACCGTTGCTAATCACAGCACCCATGACGCGAGGCATATCAATCGCCGTCCGAAATCCATCCATGACATATTTACTCCACCAAAAATGGAGTACTGGGGAACGCGTCACCCGTGAATGGGGCCCCCTGGGGCGAGCAAACGTCCGGGCAAGGTCGCGTCGCGAGATGCGCCCAACGATCGAGGGGAAGGAACAGAAAACTAAAAACCGCTCCATTCACGCCGCCACACGCCGCCACAGATTCCGCGAGTCGAAACGGACGCATCGGTCAGAGAGTCGGCGAAGCTTCGCACGAAGAAGGGCGCTCGATCGCACGGGGCGGAGTAACTGGAGGCAGTGCAGCTTCTTGTTGAGATGGGAAAGGGTGGATACCTCCTCACTCACAGCGACGGTCGAGACGAAGGGCCGCTGGCCACGCTTTATTACCCCGCCTGGGCAGTTCGCGTGGAGGTGACGGACGGTTTCTGGCGATTTCCGCGTGTCACCTGCCGCACAGTGGACACTTGAAGACCTTTTGGTATCGTTTCATTGTGGACATTATATCCAAAGAATTCAGCTTTAACCGCTTAGCCACCATGTCCACCTCCAGAGTACTGAATCATGAGGATGAGTTCCATTTTCTTTTTGATTGTTGCCGTTACTGTGGGCCGCTTAAAGACGGAGTGAATCACACGAACCTCCGAAGAGGCATTGCCACCCAACTTGTGCATAGACAATGGTTTGGCTTGAAGGGCATTCACGTCCCACAATATCCATTCCATTGCAGTCTCAACATATTTGATCCTTCTGCTTCTGCAAGGCAGGTGGATGGATGGGTAGTCCAGTGGGTACGGTATCGTGCTGTGAGCCCAACCACCCGAGTTCGATTCCTGTCCACAGCTAACGATTGAGAATAGGTGTGGATTTGGTATTTATTTACTTACCTGCACAGGTGAGGGCACGGTTAATGGCAGTACACAGCCTGCGCATCAATGTCTCTGTAAGCCATCATCGGCGTCATCATTTGGACCTGTTTAGTGTTATTCACGAAGTCACTAAGCCTGGCCATGTGCGTCTAAACATGATTTTGTTTTATTTGACACGGCAGTAAATCGCACAGACATCTGGAGTTGTTGTTTTTTTCAGTCACCGAGAGGATTTATCCTCGCCGGAGATCGTCGCCAATTAAGCACGCACGCATACACGGCTGTAAAAAAACAACAACAGCAACAACAGCAACACCCCCACATCCATCCTTGAGCAATGGCCACAATGAAACGATTATTCTCAATGCTTCGCCAGGCAAGAATCCGAAAGCGCGTCGGAGAAGCCGCTGGCAGCGCAACCACGGTGAACGCGCGCCAGCAACACATTTGCTCTCACGTAGAAAAAAATAAAATATATTTAAAAAAAAAATGAAATGCAACACCGCCAGTGATGCGAAATCCCATCGCAACGGGGGAAAACGCGTGCAGGCTGGAAACAAATCGAGTGAACGTGGCGTGAACACGCACGGTGGGAGCCGTGCATCCCTGCCACTGACGAGCACCACGCCTTTGCGTGTTAAATCCGTGATATTTGTTGATTCCGGCCGCCTTAAGTCCATTCCGATTAAAAGCTTGCAGCCTACATTTGTTGATTGCGTGGCAAAATTCCATTGAAAGAGAGATGCCACTCCAGAGGGCGACAAGGTGGTGGCGTGGTGGTGAAGCTCGTGCCACACAGCAACAAGCAACTGGGTTCGATTACAGACTCGGGCGATTTTCTGTGTGGAGTTCTCCCCCCAGTTCTGCAATGTGTGTGTGTGAGTATGTGAGTGTGTTAGTGTGTGAGTATGTAAGTATGTTAGTGTGTGAGTGTGTGTGTATGTGAGTGTGTGAGTATGTGAGTGTGTGAGTGTGAGTATGTGAGTGTGTGAGTATGTGAGTGTGTGAGTGTGTTAGTGTGTGAGTGTGTGAGTATGTGAGTGTGTGAGTATGTGAGTATGTGAGTGTGTGAGTGTGTGAGTGTGTGAGTATGTGAGTGTGGGAGTGTGTGAGTATGTGAGTATGTGAGTGTGTGAGTATGTGAGTGTGTGAGTTTCAGGAAAGGGCGGTCCTGCACAGATGCCATATTTTCTGTCCGTCTGCTACAGCAGAGGTGTAGGGAATTCCAACAAGACCTACATCTCTGCTTTATTGACCTGGTCAAGGCCTATGATACCATCAGTAGGCCTGGGCTCTGGGTCGTTCTTCGTGCTTTTGGAGTACCTGACCCTCTGCTCACGATCATTAAGGACCTTCATGATGGTGAGCGGGCCCGGGTAAAACTACGTGGCCGGGAGTCAGAGCCATTCCCTGTACACCTTGGGGTGCGACAGGGATGTCCTCTGGCTCCCACATTATTTAACATCTATTTTGACCATGTAGTTCGTGAAGCCTTCAATAGCTGTACCGGGGGAATCTCCATATGGTACAGATATAATGGGAGGCTAATCGATGCCCGGGTGCGGTCAAGGGATGGCTCCCTATTGCTCAACCACGTTATGTATGCTGATGACTTGGTAATAGCTGCTCAGTCAGAGGAGGAGTTGGAGACGCTGCTGCTGAGACTGGAGCGTGCCACTAAGAGGTGGGGCCTTACCATCAGCCCCACCAAAACTAAGCACCTGCCTGGGTATTTTGTACCATCGGACACTCCACCCCCACAACTCCCAATCGGTGATGGGGCAGTTGTGGAGAGAGTGGAGAGTTTCCCATACCTGGGCAGTGTGCTTATGACTGGCTCCAGTTTAACAGCAGAGGTCTCACTCCGAATCAGTCGAGCGGCAATATCTTGTCATCGGTTGCGTAACGCTGTGTGGAAGCTACCTGGTCTGTCGCTCCTCACTAAGCTTCAGGTCTTCTCGGCCACGGTCATTCCCTCCCTTCTCTACGCTTGCGAAACGTGGACGCCCCTAATGGAACATCTTCGCCGGTTAGAAACATTTAGGCTGACTTGCCTACGAT